CAAAGCCCTACTCGCATGCCATCTATTCTCAAGCTCCTCAAGATCATGTGGGCGTGGATTTTTGCCTCAAATTCCAACCCGATGTGGTCACTGAATCATAAAACTTTTGGGTTAGTTTGGGTAAAACCTTTGGCGCGACGGTTTTATATAAAAAAGTATCAATTTTAGCGGTTTTCTCCTAAGCCCAGCAAGATAGAAGACAAAATCGGTGCACAAAAAAGTTGTGTTTTAAACAATGCGCCCGAAAAAAAGTCAATTACATCTTCAGGGGTTTGTCTGATTTATTATGCGACGAAAGCCTGCCACATTGCTGAGGCGAAAACGAATCAGTCGATTCCAAAAAATCGTTGCTGACAATCATCACATGAGTTGCAGCTGATTTCAAGGTTCTGGTACTGGACTGTGCAACCTTTGGTCGCAATCAGCCGACTAACTACATGTCGTCCTTTAACGGTACTTTTCAATAACTAACATGCCGAATATTTGCATTTGCAACATTTTTTCCATGGGCTTCGGAACGAAATCGGTGTGGTTTCCGCCTAGATGCATTCTGTCACCTAGATATCTTTATAACGCAACCAAATGGAGTGACTGGTCTCTTTTTCTGATGATGTAATGCGGGCGATTGCGCGACAATTGGTCAATCGATATAAAACATACGCGATTTGCCTAAGGAAAGAAAATCAGCCAAATCAACCTACCGACAACAGTGGCGCGAATTTTTGCACCTTTGCCCCCACACTACTATTATCTAGCTGATAATGCACCTGAACTATTTATTTCGCCTTGCTTCGGGAATTGAACGCAATTTTTCCATTGGCCAATAGGCGGATATCAATGTTTAATATACTGTCGATAATTTTCTTTGTAAGCATCTCACCTGTGTGAGTCATCGATTTTTAACGCGGATTAATCAGTGAGCCTCAAGCGTAGAAAACTGGTCCCAAACTAATGATTATCACTAAAGATGGTAATAAGTTTGCAAAAGTTCCCATTGATTGCCTGGTATATAATCTATTGTTTCATTCCGAATTTCTAGGTCATGACTAGTGTTGACGTTGTAATCAGATAAAATGCTGGAAAGTATGAAGAAAGATAGGCAATAAAGACGAGTTGAAGAAAATGGTCCTTCGAACCGGATCGAGTCAGAGCAACATTCTGATTTAATAAAGCTGCTTTAAACGGAATAATTTCCCGCTTAGGCTCAATCAACAGGAACGTCCCACATTAGACTAAAATGGCATTGTTTCTGATAACTCCAAGTGGGTTATTTGTTGAATTACTCACAGATTCAAACAGTGACGCTTTTCCCTCAATACAATTAATAACAACAATAACAATATTTCTGCTTAAACAAACAGCACTATCTGGCAAATGTGTAGTTAATCGCAAGTGAATCATCTTGAAATTGAAAAGTTTAAACGAATCCGCTGGTCGCTCATTAGCAAGCGGATGACAAACGTTAGCAGTGTTCAGTTTGTTTAGAAACTAATCCACATTGGGCGAAAACTACGCGTTGTTTTGCGTATTTTTCGGACGCGTTTCAGGTGCGGTTTGATTGCGGTAAAAACTACCGATGCCGAAAACAGCAAAAATCGAAAAGCAACCATCTTGAAACAGCTTTCGGGATTCCGACACTGGACTTAATTACAAGACTTAATTAGTTGGTTAATCAAGATCTGCCAATCGCTACCGCAATGTTTCCCTCATACTGCGGTGAGCGAAAAACGCAACGCAAATGGAGCATTTAATATATTCGTCCAACAAAGGCAAAACAGCACGGTTATCGATTATTTAATTTA